CAGCTCCGGAGCTCAGGCCCAATGGATCCGGCTCTGGAGCTCAGGCCCAGTGGTTCCAGCTCCGGCTCCAGAGCTCGGGCCCAGTGGTTCCAGCTGCGGCTCCGGAGTTCAGGCCCAGTGGTTCCAGCTCCGGCTCCAGAGCTCGGGCCCAGTGTTCTGGCTGCGGTTCCGGAGCTCAGGCCCAGTGGTTCCGGCTCCAGAGCTCAGGCCCAGTGGTTCCAGCTCCGGCTCCAGAGCTCGGGCCCAGTGGTTCCAGCTCCGGCTCCAGAGCTCGGGCCCAGTGGTTCCAGCTGCGGCTCCGGAGTTCAGGCCCAGTGGTTCCAGCTCCGGCTCCAGAGCTCGGGCCCAGTGTTCTGGCTGCAGTTCCGGAGCTCAGGCCCAGTGGTTCCGGCTCCAGAGCTCAGGCCTAGTGGTTCCGGCTGCAGCTCCGGAGCTCAGGCCCAGTGGTTCCGGCTCCGAAGCTCAGGCCCAGTGGTTCGGCTGCGGCTCCGGAGCTCGGGCCCAGTGGTTCTGGCTGCGGCTCCGGAGCTCGGGCCCAGTGGTTCCGGCTCCAGCTCCGGAGCTCGGACCGGGTGGTTGTGGCCCACGAGCTTCGTTGTTCCAGGCATGCTGGACCTTCCCAGACCCGGAGTCACGCCGCGTCCCCCGAGTTGGTAAGCGGGTTCAGCCCGCCAAGCCAGCGGGAGGCCACCGCCTCTAGCCTGCACCCCGTCCCCCTGCTCTCCTGGACGGGCTGTGAAGCCTCCCGGTGTCCGGGCTTCCTCGCAGAGGGGGGCCTTCAGACAGGGTCCCGGGGGTTCCCTGAGCCTTTCCCTTCCGGAAGCGCAGGAGCGCGTCACACGGTCCGCAGAGGGGCTGGTTGGCGTGCTCAGCCCTGATGCACGCCGTCGGCAGGACCGTGCGTGCCGCTCGGCCCCAGCTTTCGCTGCGACGCCTCTGCGCCTGGCCCTGCGGGGACGCGGAGGTGAGCCCAGGAGGGGAAGCGAACAGAAGGGCGGCGCCCATCACGAGGCATCTGCTGACTTAAGCCTCTGCTCAGCTACTGTTTCATCGCTTCCATTGTGCCAGCTAAAAAAGGGGGGTGGCAGGATTTTTATACACAGGTGGGGTGCGCGCTTTAGGGATCCGGTCGATGGCGGATACGTGTTCCCTGCTCCCGCCCCGTGCTTTTCCGTTGACCACACCGTGAATCCTGTCCGGGGACCCGCTCATACACACCACACTGCCAGCCAGGAGAATCAAGTGCTTACCATCACCTCCCCCTGTGCTGTGAGCGGAGCCAAGTGTGAACAAGCTCCTCTTCTCAGATTCAGACAAACAGTGAATGAAAGAGCAGGCAGTGCAGGAGACTTAAGTTTCACTTTACTCATTCACGGATGAACTTTGTGGTTTTCCTTTAGTAAAGAGGAAGGCTGACAGGTGATCATCTCAGAGATTGATAGAAACTCGGGAAAGCAGTAACAATCTGAAAGCCAAAACGATGGGGAAATTTTCCTTCTATTGTAGAAAGGAATTGATAGAGAAATAAGGCTGAGTAATTTATGTTTGGAGACTGTTATTTCATCCCTGGTGTAGTTCTGTCCATGAAATAGAAACCTTACAGCAGGAGTCAACCTTCCTTCAGGTCATGATTATAAATATACTGTAGAAGGAGTATCTCATTCCTCCAGATTCACCGCAGTAGTCATTGGATGCACATTTATTGCCTAGTTTCATTTGGTTACTTGTAGTCTTAACTGTCTTCTATTCAGCAAAACATTTTAGCATTGAACTATTTGATAACATGATTTTAAAATTTCATTTTATACTTTTATTCCTTCATTAATACTTTTAAGATGTGCATAAATTTACAAAGATGCACACGAAATAATATTCTTCACAGCATTGTTTATTAAGCAAAAAATAAAAGTGGAAAGAACCCAAATACCTCTAAATAGGAAATTGATTATTCAGATTAATATTTTAAATGTTGTGGAAACTTCCCTGGTGGCTCAATGGTTAAGAATCAGCCTGCCAATAGAGGAGACACTCGGGTTCGATCCCTGGTCTGGGAGGATTCCACGTGCTGCTGAGCAACTAAGCCCGTGCACCACAACCCCTGCGACTGTGCTCTTGAGCCCGGAGGCCGCAACTACCGAGCCCAGAGCTAAACCCTGCGCTTGGCAACAAGAGGAGCCACCGCCGTGAGAAGCCTACATGCAGCTACTCCCTGCAACTGGAGCAAGGCCACACACAGCAGGGAAGACCCTGCAAAGCCAAAAATAAAGGAATTAATTAATTAATTAATGCCTTTTTAAAATTAAATAAAAATAAGATGATGCACAGGGAATATAATAACTTTGTATGGAGTATAATCTATAAAAATATTAAATTACTATGTTGTACACCTGAACCTAATATAGTAATATTGACATGTCAGTTACACTTGAATTTAAAAAAATAAAAATGATGAGGTAGGATGTAATTCCTGATACAGAAAGTTATTCACCATATAATGAGTTTTTTTAAAGGTTGCAAAAGCAGACTGACCTTTTTTTCTTTCTTGTATGTTTAAAGAGAAGTCTGGAAAGATGTAAGTCAAAGTGCTAACAGTGTTTCAGTGAATTTGCAGCCAGTTTTCACTTAACTTTCTGTCTTATGTATTGTATGAGACGTCTTTGTAAATTATTACTGTTTTTATATTTAGCATGTATAATTTTGCAGATGGAAAAATATTTCTCTTTTTAAAACTGAGCTTGAAAAGGTGAGAGGAACTCTGAAAGGAATTTACTGCTTATTATTTAAGCATACAAAAAGAAGTCTGCACAGTGCGTGTGAGTTTCCTGAGCACGCTAACTCACCTCTGAGGTTTCTTCCTCCTCTGCCCCTGCTGAAATGGTCGGAATGCTTCTCCCCACCGCTGGGCTTCCCGTTCCTCATCCTTCACCTGTCTCCCTCTCCCTAGGTGGTGGAACAGCAGACTCTTGTTCCCATTTAGCCCACCCTCCATGAGGGTACATTTGCATAGAACATTAATATCACTGCTCCTTCTTCTGACTTAAGCCAGTCCTTTACCTTGACTGGTTAAGTTAGGAAGCTCAGATGGCTCTTGAGTGCATGTATCTCATGTTGGGTGCATTTAACCAAATAGCCGGCCTGACGGATGTAGACCTAAGCTCTGTCCAGGGTGCCCAAGTTCTTTGCCTTCCAGAAACTGGAACTAGATGATTTGTTTCAAAGGTACAGAAATGGGACTCAGACCTCCCTTTGGCCCTTTTTAGACTCTAATAAAGTCATTACTTTAGTCTGAACTGAAAGACAGCATTTTTCAAGAAGATATCTTGCCAATCCCAGATATTCTGTGTCTTCATTTGGTACTGCTGGTCTAGATCATCTTGAACCCTGGCTGGGCTAGTTGAGGTGACGAGTTTCACCCTTTGGGCAGGTGAAAATCAAGAGTCACAAAGAGCAGGCGGAGAGGCGGACATTCGTAACAGACCTGTGACTGGCCACCTGTTAACGGTTTGTGATACGAGTGAGTTAAGAAACTGGTCTCTGGCTGAATAACTTTAACAAGCTTAGCGCAAATCGGAGAAAACGTAAGGGAAGTTCGTGAAAGCTTAAGCAAGTCTTGGGACTTCCCTGGCGGTCCAGTGTTTAGAACTGTGCTTCCGTTGCAGGAGACACGGGTTCAGTCCCTGGTTGGGGAACTAACACCCCACAACTCAGTAGGTGAGGCCCCAAGGAAAAAACAGCCCCCTAAAAACGGTGTGTTAGTGATGTTAGAACTGTGACAGAATTTTTGAAACAGCAGGGGTTTGTTGGGAGGACTTTCAGAGGCTGTTGTCGTCAGCCTCCGCAGACCCCGAAAAGGTGGTGCTTCCGTTACACTCTGATTATTGAGAAGCTGTGACACTGAAAGTCTTACTCAGGATTTTCCTCAAGTTACGAGGTGGTATTAGAGTGCAGGCACACTGCCATCTTCTTTGCTTTTTTTTTTTTTCCTTCGTATTTATTACCAACTTTTGCTCATTCCCCCCCCCCTTTTCTCTTTTGGTTCTTTCTTATGCACTTGCTCTAATACATACAAATTCTCAACACCAAAAATACTGGAACTAAAACTCAAAGGGAAATTAAAGCATGGAGGGAAACCAGTGCCTTCTGGGATCTCCAGAAACCTAAAGGACATTTTTGTAGTTGCTCTGAATGGTCTTCATTAACCCTGGATCCTGTCTGGGTGGAGGAGGGTCCTGGGAGCCTGCAGGGAGAAGGGGGGCTCCGGCTCCAGGCCTGCCGCCCCCTCCTTAGGCTGAGTTTCCTGCCATGGCAGCTCCAGTATGGTCAAGTCTGAGGACATGGTCAAGTCAGCGAGTGTTACCTGTGAGTCACGTCCACTGCTGCTTTTGTGACAGAGACCTTGACAGAGCTTCCCTGGTGCCTCAGGCGGCTCCTGCCCATGCGGGAGACGCAGGTTCGATCCCTGGCTCAGGAAGATTCCCTGGAGACAGGCATGGCAGCCCACTCCAGTGTTCTTGCCTGCAGAATTTCACAGACTGAGGAGAGGAGTCCGGTGGGCTACACTTCATAGGATCGCAAAGTGCCGGACACAGCTGAGCAATTCTCACACACACACACACACACACAATTCACACACACACACACACACTGCTTGGTAATTCCCAAATACAGAGGCACTGTGTCACCCGCTCACTAACTTGCTGCTGCCCCCCCAGCAGTGACCGGGGTGGAGACCAGGCTCCCCCCACTGCATCTTCTCGGGGAAGGGAACGCCCCCTGAAAACCAGCGGGGACGGCGGCCGGTGTCTGCCTGCTGGGGGCCGGGGAGCCTCGTCCGGACCGTGACGAGGCGGCGGGGCTGCTGCGATGCGGTCCCGGGCGGGCGGCCCCGCTCCGGGCAGGACGCGGCCTCCGGCCTTTCCGCCCGCGCCCCGACCCGCCGTGTCCCCGGCTCGGGGGCGCCGAGCGCTGGCGCGACTGACCTGCTTCTGCTTCCTTTGCAGCTGACCCGCTGGTCGGCAGCATCGCCACACAGTACATGACCAACAGGGCGGAGCACGACCGGATGGCCCGGCAGTGGACCAAGCGGTACGCCACATAGCGCCGCGGCAGCTCAGCGCGGCGCGCCGCCCTGTGTCCCCTGGAGCCGTCTTGCGGTGGAGCGCCGTCCAGCCCCACTCCCGATCTTTGCTCACCACCCCTTCCTGTTTTATTCCCGTCTTAATTTCCATTAACTTGAAAGATCTGGTCTTTTTTTTTTTTAATCCCTCCCCCTCCACATGGATGGGAACTTTGGTTTTCAGTGCAAACAGTGTCGGATCTGTAATAATAAGAGCTTTCTTACCAAGCTTCGTATTCCTGTGTGGTTTTGTTCCTTATTGTCCATTTTCTTTTGATCCTTCCTTTTCTGTGATCTTCGGGAAGACACGAATTCAGAATTCTATCTCGTTTCTACTTCCATGTAGCGCTTCGGGTTAATTTTTTTGTACTGAAGTCTATTGGTGGGTGCATGCTACTGGGAACCAGATTTTGTACAAACGCTTCAATCAGAATCACTGTGCATTACTGAAGACTCTGTTTATCACTAGCCTTCTGTTCCCACACTGAAGGCTGCCGGATTGAACAAAATAATATGTATTTTGATTTACTTCAAGTGCTTGTAAATTTCTTAGGGACCTGCCACTTTTGACTGTGGATCAGTTGATGTACACTTGTATTATTAAAGCACTCAATAAATCACTGTGGCTGACAAATGCACTTCTGATAACCCGGCGTTTGCTTTGTATCCTGGTGACCGACAGAGCGCTCCGTGCAGCGAGGCTTGTCTAATTCAATTACAGGTTCAAGTGTGTTTTGTTCATCTCAAACCTGGGAGGGCCCTTTGCAGTTGAGTTGCTAGCTGTGGAGGCTCCCCGGCTGTCAGCGGCCTGACGATTTCATGGTTGTTTCAGGTCACTCTGGCTTTGAGTATTGGCTGGACGTCACTTTCACATGGGCATCTTTTCTGTTGCCACCTTCTTGATGCAACAATTTGGATATGTGACCCCAAAAACAGGCTCCCAGTGAAACTGAGGTGTGGGCTGATTGTTGGGTTAAACCACTTTTGGCTTTATTTCTCTCTTCTTTTTCCTCGTAAGATGGTCACAGTGATTGCCCTTGGTTTGGAGTTTGTTTTTCCTCCACGGTTTTAGCGGAAGAAGTAAACTCCCCTCGTATCAGTCGCAGTCAGCACACTCAGTGACAAGGCTTGTCTGTCTGGCTTTGACCTTCAGGCTTTTCTAAGTTTGCAGCTACGGGAGGCAGAGGAAACTTGTGTGCAGTGTGGCTTGAAAACCACACTGCCGTGCTTATTAATATTCAGGTTTCTTTGTGCTGACAAGGCCTGTTGGAAACTCCTGCTTCAGCTAATCATAGTTACAAGCCCCCCCCCCTCCCCACAGCTCAGTCTCGTTTAAGGAACATCTTTACTTCTTAACAGAAGGATTTACATGTGTAAGTTGTTTGCCTGTAAATATTAATATTTCTGAACTTCAATTTTAATGACTTCATCAGAAACATTTTAAATATCTGATTCAGAAGATGCACTTTCTGTTGCCTTTTAGCAGTTCGAAGGAAACCCTAAAGAAAATATGTTTAAATCCTAAATTAACTGAGACTTTGAGACCAGTGTCCTTAAGGATTTTTATAACCGTTTTTCCGTTCATTTTATTTAACCGGGTTTCAGCTTACAGAACACCGTACAGTTTCTGTTGCAACTATTCAACTCTAGCCAGCAAAACCACAGACAGTGTGTATGAATGGGCACAGCATGTTCCAATAAAGCTTTGTTGACCAGAGCAGTTGGTAGCCAGATTTGGCCCACAAGTTGTAGCCTGTCCCTGCCTGTTAGAGACCACCATAGACTGTGTGAAAAGAATCAGATAACTGTGTGTTTAACATTTCTTTCCTTGAAATAATATAAACTTAATTATAATATAAGACATTAAAAAAAATTATCCCGACTGTTTTATTGCCTACAATCTTTCTCACCGTAAGGTTTTTATGTTTACTTTAATACTTTAGATTAAAAAATTCAACCCTAAAAGCATTAAATTCATTTTCATATGAAATTTTATTAAATTGATTTTTTTGTTACTTTTAATTGATTAAACCAGTCTCATGATATTAATAGTGACTTTTATAAACAATATTTAAATTCAGTTTGCCTTTCTTCTTTTAAAGCATCAGCTGCATGGAATACACATTTTGATGGTCTCTCCAGTATAGTACATCTACATCTCCTAGTACATCTACATCTCCTATCTGTCTGTACTTTAGATCATTTAAAAATGTGTATTTTTTAGGAGACAGAGATTACAACAACCCTAGTAGGAAATCCTATCAATCACAAATCCATGTTTTCTATTCCATGAGGCATTTTCAGGAATTATGTCAATTTGATATGAAGAGTTTATAAAACTCCTTTCCTCAGTGTTATGAACTTCACATACTTAATGACAAACAAATGTACCTTCCCGTCAAACTGAAAGCTGGACAAACTCCAGAGAGACCAAGAAGCTCTTAGTTGAGCCTGTTAAGTCTAGATTTCAAATAACATGGTAATTTTACTTGAAATCTAAAATCACAGCAGGCAATACAATTTTAATAAGTCTTCAGCACTGTTTGTAAAGTAAGATTTGGGAGTAGTTTAATAGTCAGAAAGCTAAGTAGTTTTGCTAGTAATTACAGAGATAGCGTTGACTTTATACCCATTGTTTATCTTTCCAAACCAGTTATTGCTAGCTGTTGTATTTTGTAGCTTTGTTAAATAAAATGTTGGCAGATCCTTGACTGAGGCAGGACCATTGGTCATTGAGAAAGTGGTTGGAAATTATATTTATTGATCTTAAATCATTCAGTAGGCTGTGGCCTTAATTTGTCCTAAAATTGCAAATAAAGCATTGCTCATTTGTTCTTCTACAAGAATCACTAAGAATTGAAGATAACAAATGCAGTAGTCAATCTTTTCTTCTTATGATGAGAGTGTAAACCTAGAAGTTTGCCCTAGAATACTGATTTGGTAATTAGGGAGAAAGGAAGTATTTATTCAAAATGTACTATATGCCAGGCCACATGTTACCTAATAAAACCTCAGCCCAACTTTGTAGGGTGTAGGTGGCTATCATAATCTGAACATTTGTAACCCCCAAAATACATGAGTTGAAATCCTAACCCCCAAGGTGATGGTATTATGAGGTGGGGTTTTTAAGAGGAGATAGGTCAAAAGGGTGGGGCCCTTGTGATTGGGATTAGTGCTCTTATAGAAGAGACCCCAGACAGCTCCCAAACCCCATTCCATCCCGTGAGGACACAGTGAGATGCTGCAGTCTGCAGCCGGAAGAGGGCCTCCGCTGGAGCCCAGCCCCTGTTAGCACTTGGTCTCAGACTTGCAGCCTCCAGAACTGTGAGCAGTACGTTTCTGTAGCTTATACGCCACCTAGCCTGTGGCTTGTATCGCAGCCTGAACAGAGTCAGACCATGGCCCCAGGTCACCCACAGCTAACAAAGCACCACAGTGAGATCCCCACCCGAGCTTGACAACAGAGCCCCTCCCGTCAACTGCGAAGCCCGACACACCTTTCTTCTAATGACGGGGTCATCCTGGAGAGGCAGACTGGCCTCATTCACTCTCACAGTCTGTACCACTTGGGGCGGTGGGGTGCCATCTTCAGGAAGTGGGAAAAGTTGTTGAAGGAGATGTGGGCCTGGTGTCAGATGAGAAATCAAAGGGCATTTTTTTCCAATCTTAGAGGGACTACTTGATGAACGCCCAGCCCTGAGGAGACGTCACTTGAAACAGCTTCCAACCTCTCTGCATCTCAGCCGCGCTGTGAAAACACTGTTCACTGTTAGCAGGCAGGGCAGTTTTTAGTGTCTCTATACTTTGTGCTTTAAAAAGCGATACATTTGTAGAGAACAGACTAGTGGCTGCCAAGGGGAACGGGGTTGAGGGAGGCATGGGGAGGAGGTTGGAGTTAGCAGATGTAAGCTTTAAGTATAGAATGGAGGAACAAGAAGGTCCTACTGCGTGCCACAGAGAACTGTATTCAATATCTGGTGATAAACCAAAACGGAGAAGGATATTTTAAAAAGAATGCATGCATGTGTAGAACTGAATTACTTTGCTGAACAGCAGAAATTGGGCTTTCCTGGTGGCTCAGCAGTAAAGAATCTGCTTGCAATGTGAGGGATCGCCTGCAATGCAGGAGATGCAGGTCCAATCCTTGGATTGGGAAGATGCCCTGGAGAAGGAAATGGCAACCCATTCCAGTATTCTTGCCTGGGAAATGCCATGGACAGAAGTGTCTGGAGGGCTACAGTCCATGGAGTCGCAAGAGCTGGACACGACTGAGCGACTACACCACCACCACACCACAGCAGAAATTTACACAACAGTGTAAATCAACTGTGTTTTGCTTAAGCTATTAATGAAGCAATAACAGCAGTCCATACTTAATGCAGTCTTTCTTTAAAAAGAAAAATGTTTGTAATTAGTACAGAAAGCAGTTGAAATTGTACAAAATAGCCCTACTAGAGGATTCTGACCTACACATGTAAACACGTCCCCTCCGTAAGGTTGCAGGTCTGTGGCACGGGCCTCACCCCACACAGGCGTAACTGGCACCCTGCCATTGGCCTCAGAGGATGTCTGCCGCAGGCCAAGTTGTCTGCTGATCAGTACTTCCGGCTGCATGAGATCTGGGAGTTGAGGCTGGCCTCCGAGGACTTCCCATGGAAGCCAGCACCTCCCACATCCAGGCTCTCCCTGGGGAGCCACTGGTCCCCTGGGCCTGGGACATTCCATCTCCTCTTTCACACTCACATTTCACCAGGAGCACTGACAGTGAGCGTTAGGGTGGCAGGCTTACCCCAGTTTGGCTGGGACTTTGCCTTTTAAAACAGAAAGGCCCGCGTCTCAGAGACGCCCTCGGTCTGGGACCCACAGGAGCTTTTGTGCCAGGACTGAATTTAAGCATAAAGTCTTATGTACTACACAGGGCTGGTTGCTGCCACAGAAATACTCTATTTGAGGAAGCTGCGTTTTACTCAATGTACAGAGATCCTGTTAGAAAAGATGTGCCCTCAATAGCTAGGACATGGAAGCAACCTAGATATCCATCGACAGATGAATGAATAAAGAAGCTGTGGTACATATACGTGATGGTATATTACTCAGCTATAAAAAAGGAACACTTCTGAGTCGGTTCTAATGAGATGGATGAACCTAGAACCTATCATACAGAATGAAGTGAGAAAGAGAGAAACAAATATTGTATATTAATGCATATATATGGAATCTAGAAAGATAGTACTGATGATCCTATTTGCAGGGCAACAAAGAAGACACAGACATAGAGAACAGACTGGGGAACACAGTGGGGGAAGAAGAGGGTGGGATGATCTGAGAGCGTAGCATTGAAACGCATGTGGTACCAGATGCCAAGTAGACAGCCAGTGGGAATTTGCTGTGTAATGCAGGGAGCTCAAACCGGTGCTCTGTGACACGTAGTGGGGTGGGACAGGGTGGAAGGGAGGTTCGAGAGGGAGGGGACACGTTAGACCTGTGGCTGATCCATGTTTGGTATATGGCAGGAACCAGCACAGTATTGTGAAGTAATCATCCTCCAGTTAAAATGAAACTTTAAAATAAAGATGTGCCCTCCACGGCTTGCAGCATTCCTGTATAGTCCACTCTCTGTCCGTCACATCCGGCCACCTTCGCTCAGTCCCTGCTCTGGAGGCAAATGAGTGATTGAAGCCAACTGCGACCTTTCTTTACGTCTTCAAACCTGGCTTCAAGTGCGTTTGCCTTCCTACGAGGTGGCTTACTCCTAATGAGTAGTCTGAAACATAATACGCCTTTCAATAGGATTTTTTTAAAAGGGAAATTCCTGAATTTTAAAAGATCTCTCATAATAGGGGCCCACACAGGAAAAAGGAGGAGATAATGTGACCTCCTATCTTTTTTCTTTTTTCCTTCTTGAGTGGGTTTTTAAAAAACTTTTATTGGAGTGTGGTTGGTTTCTGATGTTGTGTGCAGATGCACAACACAGTGAATCAGTTACACAAATGCATATAACCATTCTTTCTTAGATTCTTTTCCCATTTAGGTCATTACAGAGGACTGAGTGGACGTGCCTGTGCTGCAGGTCCTTACTAGTCATCTACGTTACAGGCAGCAATGTCTCTGTCGATCCCAACCTCCCCCCTTACTCCTCTCCCACCGCCATCCCCGACTTGGTTACCGGAGGTTTGTTCTCTACATCTGTGACTCAATTTCTGTTTTGTAAATAAGCTCATTTGTACCATGTTTTTAGATCCCACACATAAGTGACATCATATGATGTTTGTCTTTCTCTGACTCCACTTAACATGGTCATCTCTAGGTCCATGCGTGTTGCTGCCGGTGGCATTATTTCATTCTTCTTTATGGCTGCTACTGAACATAGCACCCAGTGAGCCCAACCAGAGGATTCAGGCAGCTGTGGAGCCCAGCCTACTTGCTGCAGTGGGAGTTCTCAAGCATATGGTAGCATTTCTTATCTGTAGATGTCAGAAAAAAAAAATCTTGGCCTTCTGATTGGGGGTAAAATTCTTTTAGAAGTAGTCGTTGTGAAAGGCTTAAGATTCTAGAAGGCTGTGAAAATTGTGCGCCTTTGGACAACAAAAGTGGATTTCTGTAGCAGAACATTTAGGGCTTCTGTTTCTCCCTCACAAGCTCGTTTTAATTCTGTTCGATGGATTTAAAAGGTGATGTCTCACCCTCGTCATTGTCATCATCATCTCGGCGATGACCCCTCCTTCAGCACAGGGTGTGGAACACACCGTGTAAATACACGTATGTGATGTGTGATCTCACTCAGTCATTGCTATGCTCCCCCAAGATGTGTATCATCCTCATCATACAGATGTGAAACTGACCGAAGATGCCAGTGCATGCAGACTCCTGTAAGTGCTCAGCAGCAGAGCTGGGTCTCAAGCCCGGATCTGTGTGGCTGTGGAAACCAGGCATCGAAACCCCAGGGGCACCTTCTCCTAGCCCGAGGAGATGTGGGGGCCCTCACTGTGGACTTCCCAGTTAGCGAAGGAAGAAATTACCGTGTTTACACAACCAGAACCCTGAAAACTTGTGTTCAGTGGACCTCAGATAAAGCAAAATATTACATGTGGCTCCACCAGGTCTGAGAGCCTCGGGAGGAGACCAAGGGGAACAAAGCACAAGGAAGTGAGGGGGACCCTCCAGTCAGTCTGGAGAGCACGGAGCCAGACAGCTACATGGTCAGCCAACAGGCCAGCCACCTGGTCAGACACCCAGGGAGCCACCAAGCCAACCACCTGGTCAACCACCAAACCAGCTGCCTGGCCAGACACCAAACCAGCCATCTGGTCAACCACCAGGCCAGCCACCCAGTCAGACACCCAGGGAGCCACCAAGCCAGCCATCTGGTCAACCACCAAACTAGCCACCTGGTCAACCACCAAACCAGCCGCCTGGCCAACAAGCAGCCAGTCGTGGGGTCCCCGGCCCCCGAGCCAGCTACAGGGTCGGGCACAGACCCCACCCCGGAGCCGGCCGTCACGAACTCTGCAGCCCTTCTCCTCTGCCTTCCGATGGCTGGTTTCTGCTTGTTACTTTCTTTCCTTTCTTTTTTTTCCCCCCCTAATCCCCATGGGATGATTTCTAGTCATTTTCTAGCTGAATTCAGTAGAAAAATAATGTTTATTCACTTCGTGGCCAATTTGGCCAGAACACATCTCTATTCCATGAAATAGCACATCGACACGCTCACGGTTCAGAATCGCAGGCGCACCCCTCGCGTCCGGATGTGTGTCAGGCTGGTTGAAAGTAAAACATCACCCTCCTTTTCCTCTGCTGTGGATTCCGTCGAGCTGCCCTCATCAGGAGGCACTGGTGCTCTTAGGAGAGGTTCCAGGCTTCAGAGCAAGGACCTGGCCCGTGCAGCCTCCTGAAGCCACACAGGCCCGAACCAGGGCAGAGGGGAGCGGGGGGGAATAGGAGGGTGTGTGTGTCTGCCCCTCACACACACGCACACGCACACAATCTGGCTCCCTTTCTGCCGCCTTCCTGAACCCAATCACTCAGGCCCACCCGCTGACCGCAGAGCCGACAGCACCTCCTGGCAGCCCCCCCCACACCCCCAGAGCCCCCCACACTGTAACCCCGCTCCCAAACCTCCCTTCCCTCTCGGCTCACCCTCCGAACATGTCCGAGCCCCGATGTTTCCTGCCTTGTTGTCTCGCCTTCTCCCTCCTGGGAGGGTCTCCTCTCTCATCTCACGTGCTTCCTGAAAACCTTGACATCCGTCACCTGGCATCTCTCACAAACACCAGCTCCGCATCTCCACCTTCCCCCCGAGGATGGGTGTGTGGAAATCCCACGGGCACAGCAGACTGTGGATCTGAAGCTGAACGGGTGCACCGTCTGCACCCTAAACCGTGTCCAGATGCAGGACCCACAGAGATAAAAGACCAAGTGTGTCCCACCAGGAACCAGTCGCCTGACACCAGTAACGTTCTGTCCCCCAAACGGGGACAGCCACGTGACTAGCTCCAGCCGGGGCGTGGGACCTGGAGATCTGGGCTCGTGCAGGCCACACGGCCTCCCCCCAGCCATGTGCCTGACTACCCGCTGGAAAGAAAAACACCTGCCTTGTTCTTCTCCTGCGTTCTTAACCCAGAAATAGGAAAGGGTTCAAACTGAACTACGGGCTTCCCTGGTGACTCAGTGGTAAAGAAAATCTGTCTGCCAGGAGACGCAAGAGACTCGGGTTCAATGCCTGGTCCGGGAAGATGCCATATGCCGCAGCAACTGAGCTCCTGCATCACAACCTCTGAGCCTGCGCGCTGCAGGTACTGAAGCCCACAGGCCCTAGAGCTGGCGCTCCGCCACCAAGGGGCCGCTGCAACGGGAAGCCCCTCGCATCGCGACTAGAGAGGTGCTGCCGCTCGCTGCAACTAGAGAAAGCCCGTGTGCAGCAACGGAGACCCAGGGTAGCCAAAATCAAGCAAATAAAAAATTTTAATGTTTTTAAAAAAAATGAATTAAAAGAGAAAAAGTGCACTGGAAACTAACACAACATTGCAAATCAGCTACACTCCAATAAAACATTTTCAATGTAAAAAAAAAAAATTAGAGAAAAGAAAAAGTCATATAGGGACAGAGTAGAAACCCTGGATCAGTGGAGATTGAGAGGTTTTCCCAAAATGATTAATTCTCGTGAAATTTGTTTCAGGTATTTCACGGGTGCTTCTGTTTAAAGCCCACCCCACCTTCCTATCTCCAGCAGGACACAAGAAGCCGTAACAGCTGCCGCTTTCTAGAAAGGCGGTCAGGATATTATAGGTTGGAACTGGGAAGAAAGCTTTTTACCAGCTTCCTTTAGCATCATGTGAATTTTAACCATATGCAACTGCTGTACTTTCAGAAAATAAAAGTTACCAGCCAAACAACACAAAATTCTCTCCAGCAGACACTCGGAGGGCAGTTAGGTGAATGATCTTCCCCCAAAGAACACCTTGCCTTTGGATAATAATAGCTCAAAGGAGCGCATAAAGATGCTGGAAACACCGGCCTGGCCTTGTCACCCACAAAGATGGAGCCCAGATGAGGTGCAGAGCTCTTTTTTTTTTCCCATTTGTATCTTATATTGAAGCATAATTTATTTATAAGTTGTGTTAGTTTCAGGTGGTTTGCGGGGGAGGTATTCTGTTTTGGTTTGTTTGTTTTTTTTTTTTGCAAACCTCCTTTCTGACTGACTAGGATGCCAAGAAGTGGGCACTGGCTCAGGCCCTGGAGGCTCCAGGCCAGCAAAGGGCTAACTGAACTCAAGTGAGCAGATGGGTTCCGGCCCTGCCCCAGCACAGACTGGCCTTCACCTCTTCGTGGCTCCTTTCCTCTTCTACAAAGTGTGACCTGTAAGGTCGCTCAGATGCTCTGATCGGTGGTCCTGTGTGGACGCAGGGCCAGCTCTCCCCCCAGCCCCGGCGGGTACAGCTTCTGCCCCCACTGCCCAGAGAGCCTGAAACGCTCCCATGGAGGGTCCTACCTACTCGGGTTTGGGAGTTATTTGTCCAAATGCCTGCCAGCCCCCATCCAGGTTGGACAACGTGTTTTTCACAGGGCGTTTACAGCCAGAGCGGCTAGGTGGGAAAATGACTCAGCAGAATTCACCGGCAAACCTGATTTTAATGGTTATGTGTTTCTGTTTATTATACTTGTGTATTCTACGTATTCTGTTTACCATTACCATCCTCATGCTGTGTGATCCTGGCTCTCCTTTTATGGTACAGAGGATTATGGTCTTGATAAAAATAAATAAATCAGAGGCAATAGCAAATAGTAGTGTAGGTGCAGGCTATTCAGGAGAGCCATCACAGAGGTGGCCTTAAATATGACTGGAGTTTGGGACTTCCCTGGCAGTCCAGCACTTAAGACTCTGGGCTTCCACTGCACAGGCGTGGGTTCAATCCCTGGTTGGGGAACTAACCACATGCCAAAAAGTTAAAAAAAATAAATAAATAAAGGGGAAGGAAGGAAGGAAGGAAAAATGAACGAGGACTTCCCTGGTGTCCCAGGATAAGAACCTGCCCACCAGTGCAGGAGACGCGGGTCCAGTCCGCGGTCCAGGAACGCCTCACATGCCGCGGAGCAGCTGAGCCCGAGGCCCGCGGTTACCGAAGCCTCGCGTCCAGAGCCTGTGCTCTGCGACGGCGACGACAGCAGGAATGAGAAGCCGGAGCATCGCACGGAAGGGCAGCCCCACTGTCCACAGCCAGAGGGAGACTGCTTGCAGCGAGGAGGACCCAGCGCAGCCAAAAATCAATAAATAAAATACATTTTAAAAAGGGAGAAGCAATGACTGCAGTTAGAGGAACACGATGCGCTGAATTGTGTCCTCCCAAAATTCAGGCGTGCAAGTCCTAAACCCTGCGGGACCTCACTTGGGAATGCGGTTCTTTAGGACAGGCTTTGTGAGGTCGTGCTGGGTCCCCCCAGGGTGACTGGACGGCCCTCAGGAGGCCCTGCGCGCTCAGACCCGCCCGGGAGCGGGGAGCCAGGAGGCGGGGAGGCGGGGCCGCCTGGGGTGCCTGGGACGAGCAGGAGGGCACGGGTCAGAATAACGGGGCGCACGGGCGCTCTCGGGGCGTTTCCCTGCGGGGCGGGAGGGCACGGGTCAGAATAACGGGGCGTACGGGCGCTCTCGGGGCGTTTCCCTGCGGGGCGGGAGGGCACGGGTCAGAATAACGGGGCGCAGGGCCGCTCTCAGGGCGTCCCCGTGGCCCCAGCGCAGGGCATCCGTATCCAGGCCCCGACACCGCGGGCGGAGAGGTCTGAGCAGGTGGCGCTCAGCGCCCGGGCGAAGCGCGCTCAGACCCCGCTTCCTGGCGGCTGGTGTGGGACGCCTGAGCTGGGTGCTCTAGAACCTTCTCTCGTATGTTTTTCTTTTTTAGATTACACATGTAACGACAATATTGTATGATATTTGTCTTTCTCCGTCTCATTCGCTTTACTTAGTCTGATAATTTCCTACAAATGAACTTATTTAGGAAACAGACATAGACCTACAGACATAGAAAAGAAACTCATGGCTACCAAAGACGGACGTGGGGGAGAAATAAATTGGGAGATTGGGGTTAACAGACGCACACACTGTGTATGCCTGTGGCCGATTCATGCTGATGTATAGCAAAAACCATCGCAATATTGTAAAGTAATTATCCTCCAATTAAAATTAACAAATTAATTTTTAAAAAATAAATAAAATAGACAAACAGCAAGGCCCTCCTGTATAGCACAGGAAATTCTACTCAGTATTATGTAACAGCCTGTAACGAAGTAACATATATACCTACATATATATATTCTTTTTTGGATTCTTTTCCATTAAATTTTTTAAAAAAATAATAGCATATATAATCAGATCTTTATGCTTTTGCAAAAATTATTAGTTTTAAAGAGAATTTTTTGTACACGTTATTTTGTTGTCAAAATGTAATACAATGATATGAATATTATTACTGCACACAAATTCTTAAAAATGATGAATGCGTAATTACAAGGATTTTGGTAATGTATCTGGTCTCCACGATTGTAGCTTGATTGTTGATCATCAAATGAAAGGAATAAATTCCTAAAAATAAAGATGACACTGTTGTTTAGAAAAGAAAAAAGAGTTTTCTCTTGCCTTCGCTAACTCTACTAGGAGTCATCACCCACTAGAGGGTCAGAGAAGGTTTCCTGGTCCTTGAGACACGGAAGAAATGGAAACGAGTCTATTCCATGGAGAAAGACAATTGTGAACAAAGATGCTGGGTGAGGCCAGCCAGAGCCAGCACCCGCAAACTTCCAGGTTCACATGGACCGGGAACCAGCAGGAGGGTTCTGTCCACAGCAGACTTAGGAGCGGTTGGACTGCAGGCAGCAGAACCCACTGGAGACTGCTGGAGATGGCAGGGCCTGCACTCAGCAGTGCCGAGATGCAAGGGACCCCATGGGCCCAGGAGAACCTCTGGGGATGATGGGATGGCCTGGAGGTAAGGTCTCGGGACAGCGGGCAAGGGGACAGCCTGCCACGATGAACCTTAACATGCTCAGGGAAGCGGAGGAACATAACACTCGCCCATCCGTGACTGAGAGCTTTGCGGGCATTAGTCCATCCAGCGTTCACAAGCCCTTATGAGCCGAGGACAGGTTTTATCCCTGGTTTGTAGGTGAGAAAACTGAGGCTGAGAAAGGTTCACTCACCCAGCATCCTACTGCTGGGAGTTGTCAAGCTGGCATTCAACCCAGGCCTTCCAACCCCAAAACCCATAAAACTTACTCAAAGACATATTTAATAGTAACTTAATGTACGAGACTCTTGAATTCTTTTTTTTTTCACACTTCTTTCAAACTTTCTAAACATGCCATAAAAATGCACAGATCTTGGATGCTGATTTTGATGAATTTTGACAATTGTGTCCATCTGTGTAACCACCGCCCTGTACAAGATGTAAAACATTTCACTCGTCCCTGTCCCAGAACATTACTTTCTGCCTCTTTCCTGTCAGTTCCCCTCCCAACCCTGGGGACACATTCTGATGTCTGTCTCTGCGGTTTGCCTGCTGTCAAGTCCGTCCAAAGCGAGTGCCTAATCTGCTGTGTCTGGCTTCTCTCACTCCGCATGTTCAGGGGATTCATCTCTGTTATTGCGAGTATCAGTAATTCAAAGCACTGTTTACCTCTGAGTGCCTGATCAGCAGGTAAGTACTGTGTTGGTAAGACTTTGGAGAGTATCGGTGGGCTGTCCCTCTCGGGTTTCTCAGAAGCTGACCTGCATCCTAGTCCACGTGCCCGAGAGGAAGTTAGCCTCGCCTGCAGAGGAAAATCCAAAAGGCCCGAGCTAACTGCTTTCCCCTAGGCACGGCTGTTGAATTAACTTGGCCACTTCGCGGCTCTCAGACCGCACTTTGGACAACAGCTTCTCGGTGGTGGTGGTGCTGTTTCCAATGCAATAACCTTTTATCCAACGGCACGCTGAGTAAACATGCTGAGGTCTGTGGTATTTTGACCTCCAAGCAGACAAAATCACACCAGCAACTTGGTCAACACAGCTGCGTCTTGTCCAAGATGACCGTACGGCACAGATTTGAAGTGCAGCCCTGCATGGGCCCAGCTGTCCAGGAAGATGCAGGACCGCACCTCCTCTGACCCTTGGCTTTCTTGTTACAGCTGCCTGGTCCCCAAGAACCTGAGAGCTCAGGCTTTATTTCTCCCTGATGATGGTTATCCGTGTATCCCTCGAGGTGCAGCTTGAGAGCAAAGTAACTGTGAGATCATAGTTGAAAACTTGGTGATAAAGATATGGAGAAGGATGAACTCACAAAGAATGATCCTCCCCCAGTCCTCTTCCCTAGACCCCTCTGACTCCTTTGGTGAGTTCAAAACAGACCTTCATTACTTTGCAGTCTATGTACAAACTAGATTTATGTAACTTCATGTGTTGTTACTTGTATTTGTGTGTGCGCTTACTCCCTCTGACTCTCTGTGACCCCGTGGGCTATAGCCCACCAGGCCTCAGTCCGCAGGATTTCCCAGACAAGAATCCTGGAGTGGGTTGCCATTCCCTGCTCCAGGGGAATCTTCCCAACCCAGGGATTGAACCCTGGGTCTCCTGCATTGCAGGCACATTCTTTACTGTCTGAGCTGCCGGGAAAGCCTTTACTTGTGTATACTTATCTTAATTATGCAGTTGACAGTTTTCTACCTGTGGAAACAGTTGATGTATCTTGGATACATCATAATTTTTTTCCCACTAAAATTGGTGAGAAAAAATTTTTTTCTTGAATGACTTTGCCCTTAGTAGCAAATTCTCACGGATGGATTCGTTGGTTCAGCAGGGATCTGTGACTTTAGATTTCAAAACTGGGATCTGCAGACAACGAGCTTGAATTGTCTATCCCGTTAAGCTCCTGTGGTCCGTCCGTGAGTGGGGGCTTTTGTAAAAGCAATGTAGGCAGAAAGCACCGGTGAAGAACAGCGGCTCCTTCCCCTCCCAAAGGCAGGAAGGAAGGGAGAAGAGGAGCAAGATGTAAGATTTGCAGAAGCCTCAGTGTCCCCTCTGGGCCAGGGCTCACCATGTGGAGGGGCCACGGCCACCAACCAGCGTCCTTGGCCTCCTTAGTCAATAGAAAAAAAAAATTTTTCTTTTGTTTCATTGGGCTTTTTTCCCCACTGGGAGTCAATAGAAATTGATCAAGGCTGAACTCAGAATTGATACAAGGCTTTATCGGGGCCCCTGCTCCGCAGAGGCAGGGAGAACAAGCAACAAGCACCCTTGTTCATGCACTCCCGGGGGAGCGGGAGGGGAGCAGGTCCTCTGTGGGTGAGGGTAGGGGTGTGTCCCGGGCTCAGGTGGACCCAGGGTGTCCTAGGGTCCACCCGCCCCTTTGGGGGTGCCTAGTGCAGGGGGCATGCGTAGTCCTCTGCTTTGCTCCTGGCTCTTCAGAAGCGGCAATTGGGTTTTTGGTCTTTTCAGGCTTTATTGTCCATAATTTGCCCCAACTGTACATGCACACAGTTATCTTTAGTGCTTTATCATTTCTTCGTATTCTGTTGCTAGAGCAGAGGTGTGTCCCGGTACAATCCCTGCAGCCAGGGCTCCCAGGGCCCAGCCTTTCTGAGAACTGGGCATCGGCTCCTCGGAAGAAACCCAGGCCATGCCCACAGGAGGGAGGCCCTGGCAGTCAGCTCCCCGAGGCACCCACAGATGCTGCGGCCGGCGCCCAGGGCTCAGGGCCTGTCTTGCAGGACCAGAGGGGCCACCCCTGGCATGGGATCCTGGATCATAGCGGCCCAGACTTCAGAGGACGTTTCCCCAGAACCGCACCCCAGGGACCCCACACAGGGCAGGCCCCCGATGCTCAGCAGGCACTCACCACGTGGGCACCTCGCTGGCCCTTTCTCAGCCCCTCATCCACTATCAGGGGCTTCCCAGGTGGCTGCAGTGGGAGTGAGCCTGCCTGCCGATGCAGGAGATGTAAGAGACGCAGGTTCGATCCTGGGCTGGGACGTTCTCCTGGAGAAGGGATAGGCTACCCACTCCAGTATTCTTGGCCTCCCCTGGTGGTTCAAACATTAAAGAATCTGCCTGCAATACGGGAGACCTGGGTTCGATCCCTGGGTTAGGAAGATTCCTGGAGAGGGAAAGGCTACCCACTCCAGTATTCTTGACTGGAGAATCCCCATGGACAGAGGAACCGGGTGGGCTACAGGCCATGGGGTCACAGAGTCAGACACAACTGAAGTGACTTAGCACACATGCACACAATCCACACTCGATGCCCCAGGACAGCGCCCCTGCACGGTGACCACAGACTCCAGGCCCACAAGCGTGGGGCTGAGAGGGTGTCCAAGGAGAGCTGGGGGAGTGAGCGGCAAAGCCCAGCTCCAGGAACGCTCAGGAAAGGTGACCCAGGTCCCGGGCAACAGAGACCCCCGGGGATGGGGCTGTGTGTGTGTCTCTGTGTGTGCATGTGTGCAGACACCCACGATAGCAGACAGGCCAAATTAAAAGCAGCTAGAGAACAAATCCAACACGTGGACCTTATTTGGGTTCTCATTTTAAACAATCTGTAAAAAAATAAAAAAAACCTTAGAAAAGGGAGATGTAATGACTTTAAGGAAGACCTTTCACCATCTTTGGTATAATAATAGTATTAGTTTTTTGGGTTTTTTGTTTAAGAATCCTTACAGATACATCACGAAACGTCTGTGGATGAAATGATATAGTACTTGGGATTTGCTTCAAAGTGATCAATGTCAGGGAGTTTATAGGAGAAAGATAAAAGGCCAGGGGCTGTGTGTTCATACTGTTAAACCGGGGCAACGGGAACACAAGGGTTCTGGTACTGTTTGGTCCATTTCTGAACATGTCTGAGGTTTTCCATAGTTTGATGTAAAGAAAGATGGGAAAGAGGTGGTGGGCACTTAGGAAGGGGGGTCACACGCAGGGCCCAGGCCCCAGGAGGAGGGTTCAGGACCCCAGGGTGTGAGCGCTGGCCAGGGCCGTGGCGTGGGCCTCGGGTCCGGTGGAGCCGGGAGACAGAGCAGCCGGGCAGAGGCGGGCCCGGCGGGGGCCTGCTGTCCGCCGTCTCTCCCTGCGTCCAGAGGGCAGCATGGTCTGAACTGTCTGCGTTATCACCTGTACCTGCCAGCCCCACCAGAGCAAAGCAGATGGAGCCGAAGAAACAGAGAGAAAGGTTTACGAGGCCCTGAGAAAATTAGGTACGACTACCAACGGTACTTAGGAGGGAAGGGAGAAAAACCGAGAGGAGAGGGGTTAATTCTGCTCCCCAGCTAAGACAGTGCAGGCAAGGGGAGGCCCACTCACAGACACGGGGCCTGAAAAGTAAGGTGTGCTGTCAAGAATTCCCATATGGAAATCTCATGTCTGGAAGGTGAAACTGTTAGTCGCTCAGTCGTGTCTGACTCTGTGTGACCCCACAGACTGTAGCCTACCAGGCTCCTCTGCCCATGGGATTCTCCAGGCAAGAATACTGGAGTGGGTTACCACTCCCTTCTCCAGGGGATCTTCCCAACCCAGGGACGGAACCGGGTCTCCCGGAGTGGTTTTAAAACAAACACTGATGAGAGGCTGTCCCGTTCTGGTTTTCATTGTTTATATACTTAGGATTCATTCACTACCTGTTTCTAAGAAGGAATTTAAAGACTCTGCTGATATTAATTCTCAGAGTTTCTCAGGAAATGTGTAAGTTTTGAAACCTCAGTGTTGCGATGCTCGCCAAACTTACTGCTAAATCCAGTAAACATGATGGGCTTGCCTGGTGGCTCAGTCAGTAAAGAATCAGCCTGCAATGCGGGAGACCCAGGTTCAATCCTTGGGTCAGGATGATCTGGAGAAGGGGATGCCAACCCACTCCAGTATTCTTGCCTGGAAAAGCCCGAGGGACAGAGGAGCCTGGCAGGCTACAGTCCATGGGGTCGCAAAGAGTTGAGCATGCCTGACTAACACACACACATGTGCATCCAGCACCTCAGTCATTCGGGTTCCAAAGTGTTGAGATGATAGAGAAAAAGAGATTGAGGGAGAAATTGCTTTCCCACCTGCATTTTACATGGCCTGAGAATCTACGACTCGAGAACGTGAGACAAGACTTTCCTGGTGGCGCAGTAGATAAGAACCCACCTCCCATGCGAGGGATACAGGTTCGATCCCTGGTCTGGGAAGATCCCCCACGCCAAGGAACAGCTAAGCCCGTGCACCCCTATTCCTGAAGCCCGTGTGCCTAGAGCGTGTGCTCTGCACCAAGAGAAGACACCTCAGAGAAGAGGAACCCCTGCTCAGCGCCGCTAGAGAGAGCTGGGGCAGCAACCGAGACCCAGCGCCGCAGAAACTAACTGAAAAGATTTTTTTAAATTCCATTAAAACAAAGAACTCAAGACAGACAGTTGGAGAAAATGAGCTTGGGAAACACCTCCCCCGAGAGACAATGACCATGTCCACGAAGCCCAAAGACAGAGTTCTGGCCCATTCAGAGCATGATGTTGAGTGTCCGCCACCGAAAGGACAGACTCTGCCTTCCTCTGATGCGCATGTACCAACTGCGTGGCTTTCCTTCTGATTTTTCAGAGAGCGTGACCTTTCCCTGAAACTTTGGCAGGGAGAGGCGGGCACAGGGCTTTGCCATCGCCTGTGATAGGACCTCACCAACAAAGACAGCCCCTGGGGACCACGCCAGCAGGGCTGCCACAGGCTTTCCTGCCCCATCCCCCGGGGATTTGAAATGCAGCCGGATTCTTAGGGCCCAGGCCATGCGCCTGAGAGAGCGGTTCAGTGGGCTTGGGATTCAGACAGAGCTTCCCAGCTGGCTTGGGTTTGGGGTGGCTGTTTAGCCTCTGTGAGTGTATTGAGGATTAAACGAGAATAGTTAGCGTAAACATTGAGCCCAGCATCAGGCCCCTGTTGGGTGCTGAGCCGATGCAGTGGACCGTTGTTATTACTCATCGCTGCTCTTGCTGGCATTATTATTTCGCGGGCATCGCAGACCCGCGGGCAGCGCGCCCGGATGCCAGCCGGCGTGTGCCGAGGCCGGAAGGAAAGCCGAGCACCGCCCGGCGCGGAGGCCGACCCCGCAGGCCCGGGCGCACGGCTCCCCGCTGCGGCCAGCCGGCTCCGATGAGAAAGGGCTTCTAGAGAAAGCTCCTTCGGGTTGCGGGCTTGCTGTGTCCCTAAGAGTGGGGACAGCCCCTTCCGCTGCCAAGCGGTGTTTTCTGGGCTGCGGCCGGCCGGCCTGCGATGCCCGCGTCCGGCACGCTGCGTGTCGTGCCCCGGGGCTCCCCGCGGCAGGTCGGCTTCGGTCCTGTTACGGAATCCCGGAGGAGCGGGTGGTCTTCATCTGAGAAGGGGGAGCGGGTTTCGAGGCCAGGCAGGTGAGTGTGAAACGTTCCGGCAGGTTTGTCACCTGCTGCTGTTTGCTGGCATATCGAGGGGTCCGAACCTCGTGATCTGACTTCCGGGAGAAGGCCAGCCTGAGCTGGTGAGCCGGGGGGAGGAGGGGGCCACAGGAGCAGCTGATCAGTCAGGGAAACCCCTGCCCTTCCTCGCACCCCAGGGTGGACCCAAAGCCAGTGTGGACATGAGGTCCGGGGGCAGGTGCGGCGTCTCTGGGGCAGAAAGGCCCTGGACACAGCGTCACCGCCTGCCTAGTTGGGGGCGGGCTGTGTACCCCAGGGAAGAGCCCAGAGGGGCCCCTTGTAGAGCCCGGGCCAAGCTGGCTGCCTCTGCCCAGAGCCGGAGGGAGAGGCAAGGAGGACACCGGCTTTCTGCTCCAGAAATGTTTTAAGAAAGTCATCTTTGGTCCAGTGCCAAGGACCCAGGGCTGTGATTGCCCAGGCCCAAGTTCAGTCCCTGATCAGGGAGCTAAGATCCTGCAAGGAGTGCAGTGCAGCCAACAACAAAAAAGAAAGAAAAAGTTATCTTTGCAATAATCATTGTCGTTATTGTTCAGTTGCTGTCGTGTCTGACTCTTTGCAACCCCATGGACTGCAGCACGCCAGGCCTCCCTGTCCATCACCATCTCCCGGAGCTTACTCAAATTCTTGTCCATCCAGTCAGTGATGCCATCCAACCATCTCATCCTCTGTCATCCCCTTCTCCTCCCGCCTTCAATCTTTCCCAGCATCAGGGTCTTTTCCAATGAGTCAGCTCCTCGAATCAGGTGGCCAAAGGATTGGAGCTTCAGCTTCGGCATCAGTCCTTCCAATGAATATTCAGGGTTGATTTCCTTTAGGATTGACTGGCTTAGTCTCCTTGCAATAATTATGTTCTGTTTAAAAAAAAAAAAAGAAGCGAGAGGGAGAGAAGCCTGAACATAGTTCATGTTGTGAAAATGAGCTCATTTAAAATTTCACAGCTAAAACTTCTCAAGCAGAAATTTAGAATTTTCTTCCTAAAGGTTGCTGGCTTCAGAGTCTGACACGCAGCTTTCCTTGTCCAAACAACTCTCTCTGAAGACTGACAGCTCATTACCTCCTTCCCGGGAAGGGAGTTTATCTCATTTCAAGCTCTCACAGATGAAAAGAAACAGGGCTCTAACCTTTTTATGGCTGGAGTCAAAAATGTTTTGTGTAGGTAATTTGAACACAAGCTAGAATTTTCCAGGTGATTTTATATCATTTCCATAAACTTTTATCGGATTAAGATAATAGTGCCTTGAATTTATATGTCACGTACTTTTAGAGGGAGCAAAACACAGTCATATACACCCCCTTGATTTTTACAAAATCCCCGTGAAAGGCTTCAGAACAAACTTACAGTCACCAAAGGGGAAAGGTGGGGGAAGGGATAAATTAGAGGTTTGGGACTAACATCCTCACAATGCTCTCTATAAAATAGATAATCAACAGAGACCTGCCACGGAGCACAGGGATCTCCTCTCAATATCTGTAATAACCTATATAGGAAAAGAGTCTGAAAAAGAGTGAATATATGTGTAACCGAAGCACTTTGCTGTACATCTGAAACTAACACAACTTTGCAAATCAACTATACTCCCGTATCAAATAAAACATACATTTACAAAATTCCTGTGAAGAAAGATCTATCAAGCCCTGTCATTCTTATAAAATAAGATCTACGTTTTCAATGTTTTTGCCTTTCTCTTTAGTCCAAGATATGTTTGAGCCGTGTAAGAAATTCTTTTATTCACAAAAGAATTCCCTCATAACTGCTAGAAACACTTTAATTTTACTCTATGATACTGCTTTAAAACTTCTATATGGCTTCACGAATTCTGACTTTGAAGCTGCAACTTCTGAAATCTTACTTTCTCTTTTTAAACATCAGTCTCAAAAATAATCTTTTTCCACATTTAAAAGATCAGAGGAACTGTTTAAACCCATCTTTAAGACTGGAAGATGATTGAATGTCAATCGCCCTTTTTCACAGATGCCTCAAACTATAAAAGAAACTCGTTGCCTTTTCATTATGAAGAAGAATTTATTGGAAGAAGTGACTATTGCAGTCACTCTAGGGAGCAATTTAGAAAGTTGTAACATGTTCCCTGCTTGTGGGTTTTGCCAGAGGAGGGAAAAAGCATTAATAGAAGTTGCCACTGTAACAATCATTGAAGACCATTTGCACTTTGCACTTTGAGTGCAAATGTGTTCGTCAAGAGAAAGCTCTCTAAAAATCAAGGTATAGTTCGCATAAAACTCACCTTTTTTAAAGTGTACAATTCAGTGGGTGTTAGTGTGAAGTTATGCAACTATTACCACTGTCTAATTCCAGAACATCCCACAATTCCAAAGAGGTCCCTTACCCTTTAGCTGTTATTGTCCGTCCACGCTCACCCCAAGACCCTGGCCATCACAAGCCTGCCTCCTGTCTCTAAGAATTCGTGTGTTAGGGGCATTTCATACAAGTGGCTCGCGCGCTGTGGCCTTTTCTCTCTGGCTTCTACAGCAGGTCCCTGCAGGAGCATGAATCCACATGTACCCATCCGTTCGTTTCTATGCCGAGCGATCCTTGTGTGGATGGACATATTTTGTTTCTGTGTTCATCAGCGATAGCCACATGGATTGCCTCCACTTTGGGTAAACTGTTAATAATACTGCTACGGGCATTCAGGGACAAGTGTTTGCGTGAATGTGTATTTTCAATTATGTCTCACTGTGTAGGTCATCAAAGAAGGTTTGCAAGATAGGATGTCACTGTTTTTCCCCAAAGACCAAACATCCGCTACTTGATTGACGCACTGCCGGCAACTTATTTCTAAACCCGCCCCTGCAGCAGGGCACGGTGCGTCCTCGGTGTGGGCGCGATGTGAGTGATGAGTGGATAGTGAGGACTGGCTCACGGGGCTGTCCTCTGGGGTCTCCTCCTCTGCCCCCGTCTCACCGCAGCCCCAGCACGCCCCCCGACCGCACGCGCGGACGGCGGGGCCACCACCCGCGTGGCCCGGCCTCCGCTGAGCCGGCGGGGCCACAGGCGGATGGGAGCGCCGCCTCGCACCCGCGGCCTCTGCTTGCAGCCCGCCGCGGCCAACGGCCGCCTGCATCTCCCGCCGGGGGCTGGAGGGACGAAGCGGAGCTCAAGCCCCCAGTCGCCGCTCACCCACATCGAGGCAGGGCTTGTGCTGTTCAATCTACCTTTCCGATGCCCCCCAACATTGCTGAACCTCCGAGACTCCCACTCCTCCGTTGAGATGGGCTAGTCTTCTTCAGCCCCCAGCAGGGCCGTCTACAGTCGTTTCCAACAGGGGGAACATTGGCTAACCCAATAGATGGGGAAAAAGCGGAAACAGTGGCAGATTTTATTTTCTTGGGCTCCAAAATCATTGCGGATGGTGACTGCAGCCACGAAATTAAAAGATGCTTGCTCCTTGGAAGAAAAGCTATGACAAACCTAGACAAGGTATTAAAAAGCAAAGACATCACTTGGCCAACAAAGTCCCTACAGTCAATCCCTACAGGAAAAACCCCTAGGCTATGGTTTTCCAGCGGTCATGTATGGATATGAGAGTTAGCCCATAAAGAAGGCTGAGCGCTGAAGAACTGATGCTTTCAAACTGTGGTGTTGGAGAAGACTCTTGAGAGTCCCTTGGACTGCAAGGAGATCCAACCAGTCCATCCTAAAGGAGATCAGTCCTGGGTGTTCATTGGAAGGACTGATGCTGAAGCTGAAACTCCAATACTTCGGCCACCTGAAGAGTTGACTCATTTCAAAAATCCCTGATGCTGGGAAAGATTGAGGGCAGGAGGAGAAGGGGACGACAGAGGATGATATGGTTGGATGGTGTCACCAACTCTATGGACATGAGCTTGAGCAAACTTTGGGAGTTGGTGATGGACAGGGAGGCCTGATGTGCTGCAGTCCGTGGGGTCACAAAGAGTCGGACGCAACTGAGCAGCTGAACGAGAACAACCAAAGGAACTTGGCTCTTGAGCCCTTGTTTCTGCTGGAGGTGGAAAACCTAATCTTGCCAATCCAAGACAACTGGTTGCTTTCAGCATCAAAACCCTGCCCTCCTGGAATAACTGCTCCTCGGGTGGCCAAAGTGATAGGAGGCTGCCCCAGAGTGTGCCCCTGTCCCCCCAGCCTCTGCGTGGCCTCTGTGACCACAGCTGGGCCACCAGGACCTGCTTGAGAGGTGCGCCCGGGCCACTCAGCGCTCTCCAGCGAGGTTCTCCTGGATGGCTGGCGTCCCTGGCCACAGCCTGAAGAGGCAGGCCGCCACTGTTTTGCTCTCCAGTCCCCTGACCTGTCCAAGGTGTCCACGCCTCCACCTGTCTCTCGGGGCTCACTCCGAGTCAGAATCCCAGAACACTGGGGGACGTCTCAGGGACCCCGCCTCAAAACTCAGGTCCTGTCCTCGGCACACTGTCCTCTCCTGAGCGGGGAGGTGCTGTTTCCATCACCCGTCCTCCTGGACGCCCGACACAGAGGATGGTTCTGCACATGTGCTCTCTGGACCAGCCCAAGCAGCACCCGACCCCGGAGGCAGGCGGCCTGGAGGCCAGACCCAGGCGCTAGGGGCCACTCTGGTTCTAGTGTCCCGGGCCCCCGCCCCAAGCTCCTGACAGTGGAAACCAGGTCTGAGGAATGCCCTGGGGGTCCAGAGACTAGGACTTTGTCTCTCACAGCCGAAGGCGTGGCTTTAATCCCTGGTCAGGAAACTAAGATCCAACAAGACACATAGCCAAAACCAACAGCAAAAAAAAAAAACCCCACAAATCTAGGGTTCAAATGCACTTTTCTTCATTTGAAATAAGGCTTTCAAAACTTATTTCCACTCTATATAGTCAAGACTGAGAGCCAGCTCAAAGCCACACTTTGTTTATTTCAGCAGCCTTCATGAGAAGTGATAGACCGCAACCAACTACACATATGGAACGTGTACTATTTGATAAATTTCGACTTATGTAAGCCTCCAGGAAACCAGCTCCCCAAGCAAGATGATAAAACCACCCCGTCACTCTGAGAAGTTTCCTGTAGTCAGGAGTTTTGCTTCTAGTTTTGATAGGTTTCTCTTTCTGTCCTGGACAAGCCTCAGCCCATCTCCGTGGTGGGAGAGGGAGGAGCTGCCCGGAAAGAAGACCCACTGGCTGATGATGCCAGCCTTGTCTCAGGAAAGAGTCCCTCTGCACTGGAATCTCAGAGGGAGGCCTGGCTTCTGAGCCCCAGAGAACAAGACAAGCACTCTCCTGACCCCAGGGTCCGGTGCAGCGAGGAATCCGTGCACTTACGACCAGCGGGATGTGTCTCAGCAGAGAGTGCCCGGGAGAGAACTGCAGGGGCCTAGCCTGTTGAGACTGAAGATTGGTGCCAGGGCTGGGCCTGTCAGAGCCCCCAGAGCGAGTGTGGACAGGCTGGGTGGGCCGCAGACAGGACCGCAGCCACGCTCTGGGGGCTCACCAGGGCCCCGGGCCCGGGGCCTCCGCCCGGGTCTTCCTCACTGTGTCATTGATCGTGGGCAGCTTCCCATCTTCTTATGTCACTAGTTCTCTCTCTGCCCTTCAGGGTTTTAATATTTATCTCTGTTCAGGCTGTGGGCTTGTGAGCACAAAACCCTCAATTTGGTGTGTAATGTGCATCACAGTGACTTTTACTTATTTATTTATTCATTTATTTTTGGCCACACCCAGCAGCTTGTGGAACTTCCCCAACCAGGGATCAAACCCGTGCCCCCTGCCTCGGAAAATTGGGGGCGTAAGTGCTGCACCACCACGGAAGTCCCTGCAACAGTTGTTTATTTCACTTCATGAAATTTACTCAGCTCTGACTCCACCCTGACTTTCCCCAGAATGGAGACATTCGGTCTCAGGCTCAAGGGATGCTGTTCTGTCTTACTGTTCCTGGGAATCTAACAATATTCTTTTGAAGACAGTTTCTTTCCCTGCGCAAAGTGCTCCCGGAACTCTGCTGTGACCCTTTTTTGTTTTTTCCTTTTTTCTGCTTCATGTGCAGTTAAGATGTCCAGGAGAAGCTATTCCAATTGACTTCACTAGGAGTGAGGATATGAGTTTGTGGAAGTTCTTAAGGAACTTTTTGCTTTCCTGATAAAAGGATTAGATGCAAGCAGATAGCCCTTCTTTCTTCGCCTCTTCTAGTCTTGGTTGTGGATGGGATGGCAGGAGCTCTGGCCACCTTTTTGCAACCATGATGGAAAGCCCAAGGAAATCTCAGAGTTACACATTGTGTTAGCCTAGGTTTGTCAAAAATCAGGTGCCTGGTGGCTCAGATGGTAAAGTGTACGCCTACAATGTGGGAGACCCAGGTTTAATCCCTGGCTTGGGAAGATCTCCTAGAGAAGGAAATGGCAACCCACTCCAGTATTCTTGCCTGGAGAATCCCATGGACGGAGGAGCCTGGTAGACTACAGTCCATGGGGTCGCAAAGAGTACTGAGCAACCTCACAACTTCACGACTGAGCAACTTCACTTACTTAAATGGGATTAAACATGCAAGGATTTCACTAGGGGAAATGCCTGCATGAGGGGACGTAGAAATGGATCTGAAGAAGACAGGGAGAGACGTCAGGATTTGATTGAGTCTGACCCCAAATGAAGAAGGGAGGGAGAGAAGGTTGTAGCATCTAAAGAAAGTCCAGTGCAGCCATCGGGGGGTCTTCAAACCCAAGCTGGCCATCAGGGGAGACCCAGGTCTCCTAGGAGGGGTCTGTGCTGGTATCTGTGATGCTCCGTGATTGGCAGGGAGCCACCCATGGCTTAGGCACAAACATTGCGATGAATTTTTAAATGCAACAGATGGAGCCCTTAGTTATGCTTCCTGCAGCTGCAGGACCAGAAGGCATATTCCCATAGCCACACCACCAACCTTTGCATTATTGAACCATCACCCCAAACTAACTTCCTCTGGAACATTGGCTATCAGAGAAAATAAGTTCCTACATGTCTGCAGATGCAATGTCCTATTTTCTATAACTGGCCTCCCTGAATGCATTCCTGACAGACACACCCCTCACCGCCCCACAAAGCCCGCCCCCCACTGCTGCGGGGCTTCTCTCTTCCCTCCTTCCTCCCCCCACCCTTGCCTCTCCCCTCTCCGGTCCTCCCTTCACTGTCCCCTGCAGAGCAGCTTGATTCTGTCTCCTTCACACTTGAACTCCTGCCAGCGCCCAGCCCTCAAGGTCCCACCCTCAACCCCAAGTTGAAAGGCCTTATCAAGTTGTTTTTCCAAACCAGCACCATTCCCCGCCCCCAAGAGAATTCTGGAGCTAGGTGCTAAGATCGAGATTCCAGCTCACTGCACGGGTCCTTGCAAGCACACGCTCGCGGACACTGTGACTGTTCTCAAGGGCAGGGTACTCAGCGTCCCCCGACATGTACAAACTACTCAAAACTGAGACTCTATCTTTCTACGTATAATGTGCCAGCCTATGTTCTAAGTACTTCGTACGCACCAACCCCTTTAAATCTCATAAAATCTGTGAAGTATGTGTTACTATTGTCCCACTTCATAGACAAGGAACCTGGGCACAGAGGTGGTGAGTTACTAATAAATTTAAGAGCCATGAGACTTCCCTGGCAGTCTAGTGGTTAAAACTCCACCTTCCCAATGCAGGAGGCCCAGGTTCGATCCCTAGTTGGGGAGCTAAGTTCCCAAATGCCACAGGCTGCTGCCAAAAAAAAAAAATTTTTTTAAAGAAGAAATATATTAATATATGAGCCAAAATGTAAGCCCAGGCAGGCTAGATGCAGTTTTGGAATCATATTCGATGTATTATTATACTTAGAATATAATAATTAACCAACAAATATTTGTTGAAAGAATGAATAAAACTCATTAATGTAGTGAGCCAATGAATCCAAGACTGGCTTGCAGTGCTGGGAGACTCAAGCTTGAGGAGGTGATCAAGTTTTTTTGTGAGACCACCCAAGCCGTAAGAATCGTACATTTTCTATTGAAACGCAGTTAGCTTGATTCCCCGATGCTTTCTGCCTCCCTCATCTGGTGGCTTCCTGCAGGGAGAGCTGTCCCTCTTGTATTAGCTGTTAGATGGCTGAAAGCAAGCCTCCCCGTTCTCTCTCCCGGTCGCCGTGGCTCAGCTGGGGACACGGGCCCCTGCTCCGCCCCCTGGAGCCCCGGATGGGTCACCGGAGGACCGGGAGCTGGGTCAGAGGGCGTCCGCTCGCCCGCACCGCAGGCTGTGGCTGAGTCGCTGTCAGCCGGCGCTTCCTTACATCGTGGAGGCTGGGGCCCAAGGGCGAGAGGCTCAGAGTTAGGCAGAACCGTGTGACCTCTGATGACCTCAGGAGTCACGTGGTATCATTTCCACCTCATTCTCCTGGGCAGGGCAATTCCAGGGGTCAGCCTGGGCTGGAGGGAAGGGAAGGCAGATGCTCGACCTCGGTGGGGGCACCTCGCAATCAGGGTCAGGAGAGGAGGCAGGAGGCAGGGCTGGGAAACGTACACTGTACGGGTTTTCTTTCCACTGGAGAAGAACCCTTGATTCTTATCCTCAACCGGATCCCGTTAAAATGTATGAGACTATACAAATCTTCAGTCCCATGGACATACAGCACAATTGATACAATCAATAATATGGTGATAACTTTGTATGGGAAAGACGGTTATTAGGCTTTCCATGGTGGCCATTTCATAATGCCTGCAAAGGTCAGTCATTGTATAGCAGAATGTGGTATGGCAATGAGATTTCAATAAAAATAAATAAATTACCATGGGGAAACAGTTTAATAAGTAAAAATACATGATAGTGGACTTGATCCGTGTGTCCACGATTAAAGTGGGAGGAGCAAAACCGGCCTACGTGTCCACTCTTGCACAACTAGTTCTATGCTCATTTCCTTCCCTGTTCAAACGCTATCAGGCCTGAAGACTGAACGCAGGCAGTTGAAGTCCGAGCCAATCTCATTTTCCCTCCCGCCGGAGTGTTCTCTCCGGTGATGTGGTCAGTTCCTCCCTCCGCTTCCCTGTGTCTCGTGAACCCAAGTCCAAGGTCATGAGGCTGCAGGTCTGTGGTGCCAGCCTCACCCACGGCCTCATCAACGAGCCCGACTCTGGATCCGACACAGATCAGGGTCCTGCGCTTCTAATCCGCACGCGAAGAGCAGCCGCCTGGCTGGTGCGCACTCCCAGGATGGAGCAGAGCTAGCCCACGCCTCGGAGAGGTAAAGGCAACAAGCCTATTTGCCAGTTACTCTCCGTGTCCTGACACAGAATGTCTGCTTCCCAGAACGGAGAAGGAGAACCTAATAAAGTGGAAACGCCCCTGGAGGAGGAGGCGGTGACATCTGTGCTCAAAAGGAGAACGGCAGGTCGGTTTCCACCGCACAGCACACACCTGGGGCTCTTCTGAGCGGTGGTTAAGTGGAGTGAACCCTCCGTGTTTTCCTCCGTTGCAACCAGAGAAAGTGCTAAGTGTGCAGCGTTGGAGATAATCTGCTAAGGTTCTCAGTGCCCTGAGTATATGAGACACCCAGGCTGGGGCAGCGCTGCCTTATCTGGAACCGTTCCTAGACTGAACGCGGGAGAAGGTCTAGACAGCGTCACTGCTTCTCCTTCTGAAGGGAAGTCGGCCTTTCCTTCGTCCTGTGACCGCTTGGTTTCCACGTCACTGCTTAAACAGCTTTGTGACTTGGCCACATTTTTCCTAAGGAATGAGTTATTTAAGCACTTTAATGTAATCATCCCAAGACGATCTTCCTTCATCGATTTAATAAAGAAAATTAAAGCGTGTTTTCTTTTTGTTAATATCTTCAACTGCCATCTGCTTTCAATGTGGATCTAATCAGACACTGGAAAGTATGAGAAATGGATCATGTTTACAAAGGAGTCTCTCTCTTTTTTAAAAAGTTGTGTGAATAAAATTTTGAAATACCCATGAGAGGGGGAAAAAGAAAAATCTGCCAGACTTTTTAGTTGAGAGAGATTTTATTTCATAGCAAGAGCTGGTCATGTAAAACGATTCTTCCAAATATAGACCCCTGGCTTCCTGATAACTGTGTTATTTTTAAGACAAATAAGGTATTTTCTGCTCATTTATTGTTTTCCAGAAACCCTTTGAAGTCTGGTTTTCAGTCCTACCTGGATATTGACACAGACACACCCACCCCACCACTGGTAGTTGCTGTTGCCCTTGTTTGCTGGATGGTTGGTTGGTTAAATGACTGGACTGAAATGATCCTGCTAAGTCTAGCTTCCAGCTGTCAGTCTTTCACGGACTTGCTCAGCTTTCTTCCACCTTGCTCTTCCCTTTGGGCCTGGCCCCCAAGAAGTCACTTCTGCTGTGTATAAGCTAGTTATTGGTCAAAGCTGTGCTTGACTTACTACTATGCTCAGTATTCTTTAATAACCATGAGATGTCGATGAAATCTTACAGAGGAAATTCAGGAACCTGCCTAAAGTTGCATAGCAAAAATAAGGTTGCAATCTTGGTCTCTTAGAATATGTTACTTTAAATAATTACTCAAGTTCTAGAAACTATCTTTCAGATTTCAAACTTTAAATTGAAAATAAACATGAAATCTGTCATTTACTGAGCCAATACTAGATACCTAGATGGATGGCTGGAAACTGAAAGATTTATTCCATTGGTGTATGGTGCTTTGTTATTATGGGAGATTAAATAAAAAGAATGAAAAGCAAAACAAAAAAACGTGTGCTTGATCCCCCAGGGCTGCAGGTTTTGACCTGGTCCATGTGTGGCTGGGAGTTGTTGTTAGTTTGGGAGTCCCTTAGAGTCCCGTGACTGCTCCTCTCTGACGGCCCCCAGGGGCAAGCACGCCTTGGGCATCACCCTGCCCTCTGCCTGCCAGGGCCGCTGGGCTCACGTTTCTGAGCCTGGCTACTGGGAGCTGCCCTGTGTCAGGGGAGTCCGTGTTCGGTAGGGGGTTGTAGCTGGGTCAAGTCCCTGGGTCAGTCTGAGACCAGGGGGACGCTTTCAGGTCCGCTCACATCCTGCTGTCATTGCCTCCCCCCACCCCCAGCCCCCGGGGCCTAGAGAACGCACACAGAGTTGCCTGGGATCCCCGGAGTCCTCCAGGGAGGCCTTTGCCTACTTCTGTTAAACTCCCGTCTGCGTGGTTGCTTTTCTTACATCAGACTTACCAGCCTCTCTATTTCCTCCAGGACCCCGTGGGTGACAACACCCTTACGCGTGGAGCTCTCCGCTCCACTCCAAGTCAAGTGGTCCTCCCGGGAGAGTGCTCCAGGACCCCCGTGGGTGACGACACCCTTACATGTGGAGTTCTCCGCTCTGCTCCGGGTCAAGCGGTCCTCCCGGGAGAGTCCTCCAGGACCCCCGTGGGTGACGACACCCTTACACGTGGAGCTCTCCGCTCTGCTCCGGGTCAAGCGGTCCTCCTGGAAGAGTCCTCCAGGACCCCCGTGGGTGACGACACCCTTACACATGGAGCTCTCTGCTCTGCTCCGGGTCAAGCGGTCCTCCCGGGAGAGCTCTCGGCTCTGTCTGTGAGCTTACCTCCCCCACTCCCTTCAGCCCCCTCCACCCTTGAGCTGATGCTCTGCACCACTGCTCAGGCCTGGGGTCAGGGGCCCACTTTTCCCAGAGTAATAACCCCCCTCTTGACAACTGTATGGGCTTCCCAGATGGCTCAGACGGTAAAGGATCTGCCTGCCAATGCAGGGGATGCAGGTTCGACCCCTGGGTCAGGAAGATCCCCTGGAGGAAGGCATGGCAACCCACTCCAGTGTTCCTGCCTGGAGAATCCCATGGACAGAGGAGCCTGGGGGCTACAGTCCATGGGGTCACACAGAGTCGGACACGACTGAGTGTGCACGTATGTTACAACCATGTGTTGGGGGGCTGGCCCTGGCAGCCCTGGTGTTCTTGGCGTCTTCCTTGCAGCAGGGAGCCTCCACCCAGTTAGCCCATAAGCTAGGCCGGGGTGGGGTGACAGGGACCCCAAGTTTTCCCTCTGGAGACTGTGAGGAGGCAGGTGGGGAGAGGGACTCTGGCGCCCTTGGCTGTCCTGACCGGAGCAGGGCTCCCCTCCTGCAACAGGGGAGCGGGGGGCCTGAGCCTGCCCCCCACCCCGACCAGGTGAATCCACAGCCTCAGCCTGGGAGGTGGGGCCCACTTGCAGCAGGGGGTCCCAGGAGACCCGCCCCACTACAGAGCTGTGGGTGCAGGCTAGGGAGTGGGTACACTCCAAACGCCGCAAACGTTCACTGCTCTTTCTAAGGTTTTCTTGAATGATTTATTTTTCATTTGCTGCCCGCCCTTTGAGCAGTCTCTAGAGGCTCTAAATTATTGCTTTTTTTTGGGTAATTTCACCAGTTAAATTGCTGTTTTCCTGGAGAGAGGGTCTGCTGAGGCCTTCCTCCTTCATTAGGGAAGTCTTGTTCTTCGCTGATTCTTTCTTTACCTCTGTCTTTAATTGAACGATGAGCCCTTGACCACTCCGGGAGGCTGTGAGATGAGAAAGGATGGGAAATAGTGACATGCGGACAGTACCTGAAAACAGCAGTGCCCATTACAAACGCCAGTTGCTTCTTCAGATTTCAAATGATTCATATATTTTTGCTTCCTCCCCCTCAAAGTTATCAAACGGAATGCATGCAGCTCATTTTCATTGTATACCACGAATATGTGACACCCCGCATTTTCAGATTGGAACGAGACATCAAACAAATGAAGGCATAACTCCCAGGAGAACAGAACTTGCTCTTCTAGTTTTCCAATTTTTGTGCGAAATAGGAAACGGTAGTCAAACAATAAATGATGTCTTTAAAATGGTATTTTAAAATTGAGTGCCGTTTCTGGGGATCACAAATTATTCATAACTCAGCAGGGTCATAGCAAGCTTCATGTTCTCAAAGGAATGCATTTTCTTTCCCAATACACAGGCCCCAGTAGACAAAGAGCTAAATTAAGACTTTCCCTCCTATCATCAACAATGTTGAAGTTTTAGTTTGAGGAAAAAATACAATTTGAAATCTAAAGGCACTCAATCAAATGTAACATTTTAAAATAGATAATTTTATACTTAAACAGTTATCATGTTAAAACAACTAATCATATTTCATTTTCTGTGGGGAAAAATAGAACCACCATGTTTAATAACTCATACTATACTTGTTCCACTGGGATGGGAGAGCTTGAGTCTGATAAGTTGTGAATTATTTTTTTAAAATATCAATGTAACTCTAATGGTGTACTAATAAATTTCCATTCACAGAGCTTCCAATCTTTTATTCATAACCTATATAGGAGTGTGGTATGTAGCTGTGACTAAAGTTTATTGAAGGTAATTTTAATAGCTTTGCCCATTTCCATAGCCGTATGCATCTCAGCCACAGGTGAGTGGGCAGCTGTTCCTTAATGCATGGTAGCATCCTGTAAACCTTTCAGAAGCAATTGTCTCATAGAAAGCCATAGCATGCTAAGATTGTAACCCCAAGGGAAACTGAGACAGGAAAATCAAGCGATTTTTCACAAAGCCCAGGGTCAGTAACTGCTAGCGTGAGGGTGCTCAGTCGCTGCAGTCGTGTCTGACTCTCTGTGACCCCAGGGACTGTAGCCCACCAGGCTCCTCTGTCCACGGGATTCTCCAGGCAAGAATACTGGAGTGGGTTGCCATGTTCTCCTCCAGCAGACCTTCCCAACCCAGGGGTCAAACCGACATCTCCTGCATCTCCTGAACTGCAGGCGGATTCTTAACCGCTGAGCCACCGGGAAGCCCAGTAACTGGTAGAGATAAAACTGAAGCCCAGGTCTCCAGGTTCCTCTGGTGGCTTCTCCCCGCGTTAAGTCAGACACATTGTGTCCTGAGATGATAAAGGGAACGCAAGCAGACACCCCGTAATGGGAACATCGGTTTTGACTTCTCCATTCGCAGGCTTTTTCTAAGCTTCCTCCTAGCACGGTGCTCTGAAGCAGTGGTGCTTGGCGTCAGAGCGCTGACGGTCTCACTGTGAAGACGACGCGGGCGAGCTTCGTTTACTGGTCTGCCCAGCATCGCACCGGTGGGGCAGGGGGCCCAGAGTCTGCACCCAGACCCGCCACCCACACGAGTGTTTCAGACGCAGAGTGGGGCCCAGTGCACACCGATGGCCCAGGTGTCCCAGGAGCCAGGGGGACGCAGCAGACAAGCCCGTGCCCTTGGAGCTTCACGCCCACCCAGCCTCCCG